GCGGCCTTGCCAACATGCTAAGTGACCCAAGCTTGTTTCAAGGTCGGGGGGCATACAGTAGTGGCCTTGCCAACTTAATGAACCAACCGGAAGCGATGCTCAAAGGTCAAAGGGCTCAGACAGGTCCTGGAGCCCCACTGGGTTGGACTCCTCCATCTTCCCCTTTTTTATTTTGAAGTTTGAAGAGGTGAATTTCAGTTTGTATTGATGTAATGGCAGAACAGAATTGTTTGAGGATAACTGGAAAGCAAAACAAACATAGGGAGATAAGCCCAAAAAAACCTCCGACCAAATAAAGTAACATAGAGAATGAGTGTTTGGAAGTGGTGAATGCACCAAGTAAGGAGGACACAATTCCATTAGCCACATTAGAAGGTGTTATGGAATCCAAATGAGATTTGGAAATTTTTGTAATGTCAGCCTGTAATTTCTATAAGTCTATAGTGAGAGAGTGGTTGAAGGCCCCTCTGAGGTGAGATTGAATTAGTTCCCAGGTAATATGTGTGTGATTGTAAGGTAAAGGAGTAACACAAATCCATTTATAATCAGCATGACAGGCAGTAGTTAACCAGACCTTAATATTTTGAATTTCTTTTCCTAAATATAAAACTGTTTCTTCTAGGGCATTAACTCTATCTACCAATTGTTGATCAATTTGTTCTTGTTCAAACATAGCAGTAGAGATGTTTAAAACTAAATTATTGACATGGTTAGCAGTATGAAATTGTTGAACCAGGGCAGTAGCCGAGGCAGCAACGGAGCCTATGATAGCAATCAAAGCAGTAATTCCTAAAACAAGCGCAGCAATAAAACGTTTAGGGCAGGACAATTGGGAATTTATAACTTGTAGGGAGTATAGGCTTGGGTCAGAATACCAAGGCTGTGAAAGATTGACTGGGAGCATCACATATGATGGCCTGCGAAGCAAAAGGAAATGGGAAAAGGTCGTGGAAGAGGAGTCAAGGCAATTGGTAATTGTGCAATTAGAGCAATGTAAGGAAAGAAAACCATTTTCATGAGAAAAAGAGACTTGGTCTGGGGAACAGACAGCTAGAATAGCATATAGAGCTCGCAAACAGGAGCGGAGAAAATATTTTTGAGGGCCAGAGGGACGATGTAATGTAACAGGACCTAAAGCTGCAAAAAGCCTATATATGTGAGACTGGTAGGTTTTAAAATTGGAATACATGTAAGCGGGTGTAATCCATCCAATGGAAGACCAGCGGTGAAGAGGAAGAGTTTTCCACTGTGGACCTAAGAGGGTTACTTCATGGGACAGTATGTCCCAATTGAACCTATCGGTATTAGAAAGAAAATAGGGGGGAAAATCATAAGTAGGACCCACAACTGACCAATCAAAGAGGGAGAACATGAAACCATTAAGGGCATAACGCACTGTATGATTAGGATATACACAGGATAACCAAACAGGAAAGCCGATATGAGGAGAAATACCATCCCAATGCGGATCATCTGTAGAGGAGCAAGGCTGTAAAATAGAAGGGGGTTTGACTGTAGGTGCAACACAAAGATCCGATGCATCGGGGTTAACTAAAGAGTTAAATACGAGGAGCCATGTTTGTCTAAGAGTAGGAGGGTCCCGAGGAGGAGAACGTGTGAGAGGGTTACGAGGTGAGTCCGAGACCATAGCACTTAAAGAGATAGCAGCACAGAAGGGTAACGGCTTAACCTCAGGTGCTGAAAAGCAAAGAGGAAGTAAACTGGTAGTGGCTTTAAAGTTGACCAAAACAGAAGAACGGGGGTTTTCCGACCCCAGTGGGTCTCCTCCCATAAGTTTGGATTAGATATAACAACAATGTCAGGGTCATCCCAGTTCGCTAAATGAAAAATAGGTGGGTTAGGTACATAGGACCAATAAGCAGGCGCAGAATCAGCAGTGCTTACCTGGAGAGAAAGAAGGGAGACAATAGCCAAGAACACTGTTTCAGGAGTAACAGGAGAGTGGCAAGATTCAAGCATGGAAAAGGCAGCAGCAGTGAGAGCTTTTAGTTGTC